CTCCTCTGTCCTTGTCCCACTGGAGGCTGCAGGCACAAACAAGGGAGCAGTTTTCATTGCCTTCCCCTCACCCAAATTACAGTGTGTCCTCAGCACTTCCCAGAGTCAAGAATGGGTTTCTCCCAGACATCTCCCAGTGGCGCAGAGGAGGCCACAAGGATGACAGGAAGATGCTCCAAGGGCTGGAGCACGTGTGCCAAGGGAAACGGATGCAAGAGTTGGGGTTGTCCAGGCTGGAGAAGGTTCCAGGGTGACCTTAGAGCCCCTTGCAATGCATGAAAGGGCTGCAAGTGAGCTGGAGAGGGAATTAAGAGAGGGGCTTGCAGGGACAGGAGAAGGATTCTAAGCAAGACAGCTCAGGGATGGATGGGATGTTGGGAGGGAATTCTGTCCTCTGAGGGTGCTGAGGCCCTGGCACAGGCTGCCCAGAGAAGCTGTGGCTGCTCCTGGATCCTGGGAGTGTTCATGGCCAGGTTGGATTGGGCTCTGGGCAACTCCCCTTCTGGTGTTCTTAGAAGTGAAGAGACACCTTCCAGCATGTTTGTTTGTGCTGCTGTCAAAGTACCGGGCTGAAAATCTTGCCAAGGAGGGGAGGAAGAGCTCAGCTGGAATTGCTGTGCTCTGGGACAGGCTGGGAAGCACTTAGAGGCAACTGCCTGAGGGGCAGCCATGCAGTCTGAGTGTGCTCTTCCCTGTGCTCTTGCAGGGAGCTCGAGGGCTTTCTCACCAGGGACGTTCCTCCAGAGCCCCTGAGGTGAGTAAAGTGCTGCGCTGGCTGGCATTTGGAAACTGCTTCTACATGAATGGACACTGGCTCTTGTGGGATCAGAAGAGGCATCTCAGTGCTACTTTGCAAGAGGAACAGAATTCCTGACTAACAGCTGGATGTGGGCTTTCAGGTGCTGGTAGACAACCGTGACAGCATGGCCAATTCCAACATCTGCACCGACAATCCTGGGAACATCCTCTCAACTCTGACATCCACTGACAAACAGCATCCCTGTCAATTGGTTCGGGAAGCTACAGAGAATTGTGTGCGCATGTGCCAACAATTTGATCAAATGGAGGAGAGTACCCAGAGGATCAGAGGCCAATACCAGCTCATAGACACTCTGCTAGAAGAAATCAGAAGGTGAGCATTTCCTCCTCTCCCTCCCGTGTTCCAGAGGCAATCTGCTTCCAGGTCTGGGAGGTCAGAGGTGTCCTAGGTGAAGAATCACCTGCCTACCATGTGTAGGCCTCAGTGTGGCCCTTGAGCCTCATCCTGTCTGGGTTTTTCATGCTCTACTGTGACTCCCTAGGCTTTCTGGGAGATGCAGAGCCATGTTGAAATAGAAGACTCCTTCTTCTCACTGTCTTGTTTCCCTGAATTCTGTTCTTTGTGCACCCCTGCCCAGCCCCTGCTTCTCACTGAAGGAAGGCAAATTCCTGCCTTCCTTTCCCTTTGCCTCTGGAGGATTTCCTTGGGAGGGAAAGAGCAAGGTCTTCCTTAGCCCACTGCTCCCAGCTCCATCCTGGAGTGCTGAGAAGGGCATTGCTTACTTTTCAGGCCTCTTGGTTCTTCTGACTGAGCCTTGTCTCTGCAGTGACTGTGCAAACCTTGAGAAGTCCAGGGAAATGCTGCTGCAATGCACTGGAATCCCGGAGCCAGGAGCCTTGCGTCTGCACCAGCAGAACACCAAGCAGCGGAAGGAAGCGTCAGCCCAGGAGGAAAAGGCAGAGCAGCAGGACTGGATGAAGGTTGGTTTTGGAAATGACATTGGTTTTCCCTTGGAAACTTCTCTTGCCCCTTCTTGTGCAATGGAGGACTTGGCTGCACTGAAGGGAGAAGAGCCATCATTGCAGAGCCAGCTGGAAGTCAAGAGGCAGACGTTGGAGGACTTGCAGCTTCAGAGGGATCTGCTGGAGCAAGAGGGATGATGTTAGCACGGCTCTGAACACCTTATTGCTAGGCAGCACCTGTGGGGGCGGGAGTTGTGGCAGCCAGATCAGCCCAGATGCTGTTTCTGGCAGTAGAAGACAGGCACACTGCTGTGCACACCTGGCTCAAGATGGCACACACATTCCTTAGCCAGGGATATGCATGTTCATCAGCAAAGTGTTGCATGATTTGGCAAATTGTGTTGCTTTGGGCAGCCACAGAGCCTCTAATACAGGGAAGAGAGCAGGGGAAGGGTCTGGAGCACAGGTGTGACCAGGAGTGACTGAGGGAGCTGGTGGGCTCAGCCTGGAGAAAAGGAGGCTCAGGGAGCACCTTCTTGCTCTCTACAACTCCCTGTGACAGGAAGCTGCAGCCAGGTGAGGGTCAGGCTCTGCTTCCAGGGAACAAGGGCCAGGAGAAGGGGAAAGAGCCCCAAGCTGTGCCAGAGCAGGTTTGGATTGGGTGTTACAGGATAGCTGCTAGAGAAGGCTTTGTTTCTGACGGTCTCTGTCAGGCAGTCTCAGGTCTGGGCAATGTGGTAGGTGTGGCAAATGCACAGCAGAGGTTGTGCTTTGGCCACATCAGCCAGACATCCATCAGTCACTAGATGTCTGTCCAGCACAAGAGCTGTTTCCCTTCCAAGCATCCTCTCCTTGCAAAAACTGGTTATGAATATGTGAGGAGGTGACGCTTGGATGTGGCTTTTGTTCTTGAAAGAGGAAATGCCGTATATTTTCCCTTGATTCAGAAAGAAAAATTGTTGCCCCCAACCTTCCTGAAAATATCCAGAAATATCCTTCCTGAAAATAGATCCAGAGAGAAATTTTGTTAGCCAAGTGGCAGTTGTGGAATATGCAGTGGTTTTGGGAGACAATACAGAGATTGGAATAGGGATGTTTGTTGGGAAGGAGCTGTCTGGGCCGAGGCAAGGCAGCAGGGCCTGACGCAGCACTTCCAAGGTCACAGTGCCAGAGGCTTCTGGCAGCCCAGGCTATCAGAGCTGCATAGGGCAGATGCTGTGAAACTTGGAGCCCAGAGCACAGGTGCTCCTTGTCCTCTGGCTGCCTGCGAGGTGGCGCTGGCTGGCTCTGCACAGGGCTCCCGAGGAAGGGCTCCAGCTGTACCTTGTCCCACTTGCAGGTTTCCCAGGAGGAAGAGTCATCGAGCTGGTCTCTGGAGCAGCTGAGCTGGGAATCCTCTGACCAAGGGCACGCAGCAGCCCAGGCATGCAGAGAGGAGGAGCTGCTGGGCCAGAAGGCTGAGCTTGAGGGCCGACTGGCAGCCACAGAGTGGCTCCAACAAGACCTTTCCAGGCAGCTGGCAGAGACCAGGTAAAGGCAGGGAGCTGAGCCTTTTCAGATGTTTTTACATGCCGTGGACATGGAATATGGAAGAGTCTCAAGAAGAAAAAA